TAGTAGGTAAACTAACCACAACCTATACCACTTGAACAGCAGTCACAGGAGTGACAGAGCCCAGCTTTCCTTGGTAGTGGCAAATAGTACCACAAGGAGCAATGGTGACAAGTTGTTTGGTAGGACATTCAGAACTTCTCCACTGTGTAAATAGTGTAGCACTGGAAATGGCTGCTGAGAGAGGCTGCAAGGTCTCCACACTTAGAAACTGACAACTCAGCTAAACAGAGCCATGGCTTTACCTGGCACAGTGTTGTGTAGTTTTGGCAACTAACCTGACTCATGCATGAAGCTGGCCTAGACAACCTCCAGATGTCCCTTCCAACCAACACTTCTAAGACTGTGTAAACAGTCTGATATTTTTTAGGACACTAAAGAACATTCCTGAGGAAAGTTTATTTTCCAAGTAAGCCACACTGCACTAAACAATGGAGTGACTCAGGAGACAGGATGGGACATACCCTTTAGCTCACATCTAGCCTGCTTTAACCAGTAGTTCTTGAACATCCTTGACAGCTGTTTAACAGACTAGGAAGAAAGGTCTTGGGTGGGCCTTAAGACAAAGCCATTCTGTTGCAAATAGCAAACAAGAAACAAATTGCTGAATTTGCAGAATAATTAATTATTTTGCTGTAATACAAGCATTTCCTTCCCAACAGAGACAGGAAAATTTGTAATGGTGATTCCCAGGTTGTGCTTATTCTCCCCAGTAAATAAATGGTGGACTTGTCTGTCCAACATTTCCAAAAAACCCAACAGAAACATCTCTTATTAAAAAGAAACATATTCCTCAGAGCAGAACTTTGCTACTTAACATTTTTCAGCAAAACAGATTATGGGAATTAATACTGGTTTAGTTACTACTGATCATATTAGTTCCTGTACAACTGCTGGAGAACATCTAGGTCAATACTTCAAGGCTTTTCTTCTCATCAAGAGAAATACGTTGTACTCATAATATCGAATGAATTCATGCTGCTTCTTAAACTGTTAATATCTGCAGATTTTGATCATCTGTGCAACACTGTTTTGAATTACCGCAATTAGCAGTACAAGACAAATACTAAAGGACTGTTAAAATCATTGCACTTTGTGGTAACTATTTGGATATGATTGAAGGACCATACCTGTACATAAAAAAAAACCCAACCAACCAACCAAAAAAAACCTCCAACCAACCAAAAAAGCTTAAATATTTTCTACAAGCCAAAGTGTAAAGTAATTTATCAGAGTATCTTCCTCAATACTGCCACATACAGATCACCTTTTACTCTACAAACGTAAGACTTCCATATCACCACTTTTAAGTTTTTCATTTTCCTTTCCATCTTTGTAAGCTTTGTATTTTGGCAACTTAACTTTGCTTTAAAGAAACTTCACCTCCTTTCCTGCAGGTCTACTTAATGACCAAAACGTGGCATCTTTTCTGTGAGGAGACCTGTGCAACTATATGGCAGCTCTGTAAAATTCATGTGTGCCAATCTGGGGAGTAGGCAGTAGCAGAGCTGTTTCAGTGAAGAGCTCACGATCTACAAGTGAACAAAAGAAACAGATGCTGCTGACAAAAAAAAAAAAAAAAGCTCCTCCTGACACTGTTTTATAATGGCAGCAAAAGTAAATACACACATAAATTATCTAAACAGAAAGATACCATAACAAAACCTACTTTTTACTAAGCCTGAGCTAATTTCTAATGCAACTGTTTTCCTCTCACCCCAACCTTTTAAAAGTTACTACTGTTCATTAACTATAACCATAAAAAAAAAAAATAGCAAGTGCTGGAATTTTTCCATTTTCTTTAAAGGGAAAGATAATTCAATAATAGGTAATATACCTCTCTCCTTCCTGTTTTATTTCAAGTTCTTATAAAGACACTTTGCTTAACTTCTCCCCTCCAGAACTTAAATTCTTTTACCAAGTAACTCAAAAAAAAGAAGAATAATACCATGAAACACATAGTAATACTTAGCTATATTATTTCTGATATGGGTCAGGATGCTGTTGGCCTTCTTGGCCACCTGGGCACACTGCTGGCTCATGTTCAGCTGGCTGACAACCAGCACCTGGCAGGACCTGGCACTGAGCCCACACAGAATTAGCCTCAGACCATTGATCCAGCCCCTCCAGATCCCTCTGTAGAACTTTCTTACCTTCCAGCAGAACAACACTCTTGGCTCAACTTGGTGTCATGTGCTAACTTTCTGAGGGTGCACTTGATGCCCTCATCCAGATCACTGATAAAGATACTAAGCAGAACTGGTCTCAATACAGAGCCCTGGGGAACATCACTTGAGACCGGGAACCAATTGGATGTAGGTCTACCATTCTTTGGACTTGGCCATCCAGTTAGTTTTTTACCCAGTGAAGAGTACACCCATCCAAGCCATGAGCAAACACTTTCTCCAAGAGAATGCTGTGGGAAATGTTGCCAAAGACTTTACTAAAATCTAGGTAGAAAACATGCACAGCCTTTCCCTCATCCACTAAGGAGGTCACCTAGTCCCAGAAGAAGATCAGGTTGGTCGGGCAGGACCTGCCTTTCATAAACCCATGTTGACTGGGCCTGATCACCTGGTTGTCCTATATGTGCCATGTGATGGCACTCAAGATGATCTGCCCCACAACCTTCCCTGGCACCGAGGTCAGACTGGCAGGCCTGCAGCTCTCCAGATCCTCCTTTCAACTGTTCTTGTAGATACGCATCACATTTGCTAACTTCAGTCACCTGGGACCTCCCCAGTTAGCCAAGACTGCTAATAAATGAAAATGGCATGGTAAGCACTTCCACCAGCTCCCTCAGTACCCTTGGGTGGATATGATCCAGCCTCATGGACATGTGTGTGTCTAAAAGGTGTAGCAGGTCACTTACCTTTTCCCCTTGGATTATGGAGGTTTCATTCTGCTCCCCATTCCTGTCTTCCAGCTCAGGGGCTAGCTACCTGGAGAACAACTGGACTTACTGTTAAAGACTGAGGCAAAGAAGGCATTAAGCACCTCAGCCTCTTCCTCATCCTCTGTTGCATGTTTCCCACTGCAGCAAATAAAGAATGGAGATTGTCCTTAGCCCTGCTTTTGTTGCCAAGGTATTTATAGATACATTTTTTTGTCTTTTACAGAAGTAGCCAAATTAAATTCTAGTTGGGTTTGGGGCCTTCTAATTTTCAACCTGAATAACCTCACAACATCCTCATTGTTGTCCTGACTTGCCTGCCCCTTCTTCCAAAGGTCATAAACTCTCCTTTTTTTTCCTGAGTTCTAGCCAAAGCTCTCTGTTCAGCCAGGCCAGTCTTCTTCCCCACCAGTCTGACTTATGGCACATGGGGACAGCCTTCTCCTGTGTCTTTAAGATTTCCTTCTTGAAGAATGTCCAGGAAGTCCTTCCCAAACTCCTTTCCCCTTCAGGTCTGCTTCCCAAAGGACTCTGTCAACCAGGCTCCCAAACAGGCCAAAGTCCACCTGTTGGAAGTCAAAGGTAGCAGTTGTGCTACCTTGCCATTCTAAGAATCAAAAACTCTATCGTGATTGCTATGCCCAAGATGACCTCCAACCATTACATCACCCACAAGTCTTTTTTCTGTTCACAAACAAGAGGTCCAGTGGGTGCCTTCCCTAGTTGGCTCACGCACCAGCTGGTTCAGGAAGTTATCTTCCACACCCTTCAGGAATCTCCTAGACTGTGTACTCTCTGCTGTACTGCATTTCCAACAGACACCTGCAAAGCTGAAGTCCCTCATGAGACCAAGAGACAGCTATTGTGAGACTTCTCCCAACTGCATTATTTCATCTGCCTCTGCATCCAGGTTGGGTGACCTATAACAGGCTCTCACCATGATATCTGCCTTGTTGGACTTCCCCCTGATTCTTACCCCTAAACACTCAACCCTATTGTCACCATCATTAAGCTCTCGACAATCAAAATGCTCCCTAACACACAGGCTTCCCCACCTCTCCTTCCCTATCTTTTCTGAAGAGTTTATAGCCATCCATTGCAGCACCCCAGTTGTGCAAGTCATCCCACCATGTTTTCAGGATGGCACCCATGTCATTTTCCTGCTGCACAATGGCTTCAATTGTTTTAATTTTCTAGTGCTTGACATACTAGGAACAGAACACCATAATGTAAAAATTTAACAGTGAAGACAGTAACAACTGCAAGAACAACACTGCACAGAACCAACAGGAAATGCTAACACAAGGCTTTCAATTGGTATTTATTAAAGGCTTAAAAATGGGAAAGCTACCAGAAAAACATATAGCTCCCCTTATTCTTCTTTTAGAATAATTTAAATTTTATTTGGAAAGATGACAAATTCTCAAGAGGTCCAAGCAAACTATCTTCTATTCAATAATGAATGTTAAAAAAAAATAGTAAAATAATTTAGCTTGCGTAAGACTGTGATAGGGTATTCATATGTTTAATATTTCATACACACCAATGTTTTATAAGTATGAGGAACATAAGACAACCTATTTTTTCCCAAGTCAGTTTCATTCAAAGAGACCTACTCCTTAAATAAACATTTTGCCAACTTTCAAGTATTTCTATGCATTGTGCCATGAACACACTACAGAGATATGTGAGCCAGTACTGACTGAACTGGTGTATCCATCATGCACACTGCCAACAGATACATAGCTCTAGTTTCAAAAGCCTAGTTACATTATCAAAATATCACACCCAACCTAATGATCTTACTTGGGATCAGCCAGGCCACAGCGATACATATTTCCTTCTAGAGCCACCATAATCACCACTAGCTTGGGGGAAAGAAAAGGGGTGTTTTTACTCTGCAAGGCGTTAAGCAGAGTTGACATACCCTCAAGATGACCCAGATGGCAGATTAGCATCTGGAAAGGATGATCTGGAAACCCCATTAGAAAGTACATGGTATTTCATGCAACACTGCAGAAGGAAACAAAAACTGGCATGGAGGGCATATTAAATGCTTCAAGGAATCATCGCTTATGAAGGAGGGAATGTTTTGCAAAGTACTACTTACAGGTATGGAGGCACTCGGTTACTGTAGTTGGCTTGATGAGATAGCCTTTACAGATATAGCAGGTGATATGAGGATTGAAATCTTTCACCAAGTGCTTCCTCTGAGTAGCCATTCGTGGAGTAGGAAATGCTGGCAGAGTGCTCGGGACCAGAGGAGCAAGTCTGAGAGATGATGATGCCCACGGTTCACAAGAGCTGTGGCGCTGCTCTGTGCAACTGGACTTCTCCAGGCATTTGCTCTTAATTCTGGACGTCTCACAGGGCCATGGCTCATATCTCCTGCTCCTGTGCCAGGCGAGTCATCTTCCTACCTGTAACACACATGGAAATACAGAGGTGCGTGAACCCGGCAGCACAGCGACGATGCCCCAGAGGACACGAGTCACCGTGAACTTGGCAGGGGCACGCAGCCCGGCTGTTATTTACATAACAGCAGCGGGGCGCCCGGCAGCCGAACTCCCGGCAGCGCCCTGCCCGCGGCAGGCTCCGGCCGGCGGCGGGACAAGCAGCCTCGCTGACAGGTGCAGGGGCCGCGGGCCAGCTCCGCCGCGCCCCGCCGACCGGCTCCGAGCTCCGCAGGCCTCGGAGGGCCCCGGCGGGGCGGGGCCCTCACCCCCCACACCCCGCCCCAGCGCCGCGAGAGCCCGCCGGCAGCAGAGGGCGGCGGCCGGGCTCTCCCCCGGCTCCTGTCCCCCGCTCCCCGTACCTGCGGCGCCTCCCGTCCCGTCCCCCCCCCAGTACCTGGCGCCCCGCGGCCGCCCAGCGAAAGGGAAAGAGAAACGGCGTGCGCCTCCCGCCCCCTCCGAGCCCTCCCTCCTGCCCTCCCCGCTAGGCTGCCGCGGCCGGTCCCAGGGCGGGACGGGCGCGCAGGCGCTGCTCCCCGGCCGAGCCCTGCTGCGCCACGGCCCGCAGCGCCGCTCCGGGGCGGGAGCCACCGGCAGCCCCTCAGCGGCACCTGGGCGGGCGGAGGCGTTGGGTGCGAGGGGAGAGCAGGCAGAAGCGGGAGCGGAGCTGCTGCCGGTCATAGGTAAAGCGGCGGAGCGGCCGCCCCGCAGCCCGCGCCCGGCCACACATCACCTCTTGAAGACAACTTCAGCTCCTGCCCCTAAAGGGTGAAACTTACACCCATTTCCATCCCTCCAGAGGAAATACCAACCCCCTGGGCTAAGTTAGGCCCAAATCCTGTAAACAGTTACACACGTTACACATGTGCTTCCCTCCAGCCGGGACCGCCTAGCCAGTCATGAAGCACGAGTGAATGCTGCCTCCGTGGTTCAGCGCATCTGCTTCTTGCTCCCCTGTTATCAGAAATGCACCATATTACCAGGAAATTATCCATAAAACTAAAGCTGCCTTAATGATAGTTTTCAATGGCACTATTTCTAGAAAATTTCTTCTACACTCCTTTTAATAATAAAAATATAAGGAGGCATTTTCTGTATTGGCTGCAATACCCTCACATTACCTGTGACTGTGTTAGGTCTGCTTTTCCATTCTGCATTTGAAATAAATACCCATTTTGCCTTAGCCCTCCAGTACAGTCTCCCTTTCATCCTCGGGTATGTGCTGCAACAACAGAAGTAACTTAGGCCTGCTCCTGCATCCATTCCTACTTCTGGCATATTTACCCTCCAATAGATCTCCAGTTACATCAGGTCAACTGCAGGGCTGAGTCAGGTGCCTTACAAACTGACAAAGATACTGTGCAGTGGTGAATGCGTGATAAACCTGACACGGAGTAACTCAACAGAACATGCATAATTTTACCTGACAGAATGTTCCACTTGGATGAGATTATTTCTCCACAACAGGAACAGAAGTTTATAAAGCTCTTTCAAAGTCGCATGTGATACAGTTCGACAAAAACTTGCGTTTTGATGGTTTTGGTCTGCTGTTGTTAACCATTGTTTGCATTATTATATTATAAAGCACACACTGCTGACTCAAAGGTTAGAGAACACTAAACTCTAACATAGAAACTAGACAGCATAGACTATACGTATCTCTCTTGGGCATATTTTAATTAGCAGTCATATTCTGTCAGTTTAGCAGAAGTTGATGTTTTTCAGAAGGAGCATGAGAGCAGCTCCGCTTGAATGTAGACCAAGCATGATACAGCATTATTATTTAAAACAAGCAACTGCCGATGCTCTCCTGGATGTTTCAGAATGACTGCGTGTGGTAAGATTTGTTTTAAAAATAAACTGTGTGCTAAGTGAGATTTCAAAGCAGAGTTTATCCAGTGTCCATACTGGGGAAAAAAAAGATCTCTAAACAAATTTATCAGCTAGCTCATGTTTACACAGTAACACAATGTTCTATTCAAGCACATTAAAAACGCAGAGTTACAATTTATTATGCTGTGTAGTCCATACAGTAATAACTGCACAGCAGTTGTGACACTTCAGACATACACCACTGGTGCAGATTTCCACAAGCCATACTGAAGTCCTTCTTTTAAGGCCTACTAGTCCCATGCCAGGTAAGTGACAAGGGTACATGACAAATTCATGCCTCATCTCTTCACAGTGTAAGAGCTTAGTCCTGCTGGCATCAAGCTGTATTTATAAGATGCTGAGTGCCCTTCACTCTCACTGAACATGATGAAAGTTAAGGCATTTGGCACCTTTCAAGAACACAACACAGAGAACAAACAAGAAGCTGTACAGAAGCTCTCAATTCATTATTGGAGGAAAATAGTGTAATAAATTTTCTTAAATAAAATACTTGCTCCTAACTTTATATCATGAGGAAGTATACTATGTTAATAGACACTTATGAATTATTTCAGAGGTAGTTAACTCCTAGCATACAATAGTGTTGTTCGGGGTTTTTTTAATATAGGACTGTATAAGTGATGTGATCATTTTGATCTACTTGCAGCAGTTAAAAGGTACAGAGAAATAGTGTTTGAATCAAACAAGGCAGTCATTTTCATATTATGAAGGCCCTTGCCTTGACTCAGTGATGAAAATACAGCTGCTCCCACTTCTCCGTGTTTCTTAAACTTCTGACTTTCCTACAGGCTGACTTGTACTCAGCAGTTCTCTGTGTCCTTACTTACACAGTACTTACTTTTTCAAAAAACTAAGTCCTTTTGTACATACATGTGCTCACCTAACACATAGCAACTAAAGACTGCTTCCTAAGCATTATCAAAGAAAAGGAGTAGTTTCTTGCAATCCCCCAAGAACTACTGGATCATCCTAATGTGAAACAGGGTAATTATTTACATTTAATAGGAATAAAATGATTCTTTTTAAAGGAACAGCCAAAACACATAAGAACTTCTCAACTCCAGGCATTTCACTAATTTTACTCATTAATGCAACTCCAACATTTTTGAAAAGTACCAACGTTTTATGTCAGTTCTCAAGTAAATTCCAGAGAGATAACCATTGATCAATACAGCCAAGTTCTCAGTAACATCTGAAATACGTAATTCTAATTCTGCAAGTAGCTCCACATGAGTAGAACCTTACATCCCTAGAGAACTACACCAGAGTCTGTTCATAGGCAAGTCTCCAACTACCCTCCAGTCCTCCAAAGAGTTACTTGTATTTTGTAGATGGAAAAATTACTAGGACACATATGGACTGGGAAAATAATGGGGAAAAAAAACAAATCAACAACAAAACCACCGAACCAAGAAACCAGTCATTGAAACAAACCAACAAACAAAACAATCACTAGTTTTCTTAATAGGCATTGTGAGGCAATCTGGATGATATTTAGTGGGAAGCCACAGCATTCACCTTTACTGAATACTGAGTATCTAGACATCTGATGGAGATGCCATTTTGTGACTTCTAAAATCTTGAAAACTTCACAGAATTGCTTAGGTTGGAAGAGACCCCTGGAGACCATCTAAACCTCTGGAGACCCTCTGTTCAAGCAGGGTCAGCTAGAGCAGGTTGTCCAGGACTGTGTCCAAGCTGAGTTTAGCATATATCAACAGATGGGGACTGTACCACTTCTCAGGACAACCCGTTCCAGTTTTGATCATCTTCATAACAAAAAAAAAAGTTTTCTTGTGATCATGTGGGATTTCATGTGTTTCAGTTCACAGCCATTACCCCTTGTCCTGTCAGTGGGCACTACTAAGATCAGTCTGACTTCACCTTCATTCTCTCCCATCAACAATTTACATGCTGGTTAAGATTCCTCTGAGCCTTCTTTTCTCCAGCTGAGCAGTCCCCACACTCTCAGTCTCTTCTCATATGAACAATGCTCTAGCCCCTTAATCTTCTCTGCAGCCCTGTGCTGGACTTTCTTTCTCCTACAGGAGAGTCCACAACTGGACACACCACTCCAGATGTGACCTCATCCATGCTGAACAGAGAGGAGGATCAACTCCCTCAAATTGCTGTCAACTTACCTGAAATTACTGCATATTTATTCAGGTATGAAAAACAGACCAAATATAATCTTTGAATTCCACTGTTAAATTCCCTATACACTAGAACAGTATCTGGGCTAGAACCATATAGTGATTGGGTCAGAGAGACATTTGGACACCATCTGGTCCAATGCTCCTTCCCAAAGCAGGTCTAACATTAAAGTAAATCAGATTTCTTAGGGCTTTATCCAAATACAGTCTGTATATATCCAAGGATGACAATTCTACAGCCCCTCTGGACAACCTGTCTCAGCCTTTGGCAATACTCATTGCAGACTTTTTTCCCTGAGGCTGAGGTCTAGTTGGAATTTTCCTTGCTGACTCTTGTGTACTTGCCCATGTAAGTGAATAATTTACTAGCAGCAAGTAAACTTAACTGTTGCTGTCATTATCACTGTCTTTGGCATTACCTTGGGATCATGCATCATATTTCTTTGCTTTTTAGGAAGAGCAGTAACATTGTTTATCGTATAAACAATATTACTATGCTCAGTGTGAAGACTGTATTTGATTTTATAGGAAATGATAGGAATTACGTTATTCTTATCCCCATCTCCTGTTTGTGAAAATGAGATTTTGCGTTTCTGTTGTGAGGGCTTTTCTTCATCCCTGCTGAGCTCTATGTAAGATGCTGTGTTATTAGCACATAATAGTTCTTCTGGGATATACACAGCATTTCTTTTTTTATGCTTACTCTTTTTTTATATCCTAAAGTAAATTAGCAAGGCAGGTAGCAAAATGCTAACATCTGTATTATTACACCACTGACGAATAAGTAAAAAAGACAAATGCATGCAAGACACATTTCAAGAGTAAGTTAAAATTGTTTCACAGTGTTCCAAATTTGTTGAACTAATTCCAAGCAAATTTTAAAAAGAACAGAAACTGTAAAATAAGTTCCTACAAGTTTTATAGTAATTGGTTGCTAGAAAAAGAGAGGGAATTAAAACATTGACACTTTCCCTCTACCAAGGGAGAGATAAGCAGATCTGTATTGTTAAACATTTCCCTGGCACACTAAAATGCTGATAAGGCATAGCATAGACTGTCTCTTTTCAGCTTAGAGAAAGACAGAAAACAAGTAAGGGACAAGGCCATAGCAGAGGGAAAGGGAGACTGCTATCCCAGGGAGGTCTGTCAAGTGGGTCACAAGATTCTT